TCTGTTATTCTGTCTTTTGGTTTTGTCAGAAGCCAGAGAACCTTTTGTTCGGCCCTCACGACGGCTCCCACGGTGGCCAGGATGAGAAGCTCAACTATTCGGATCACGGTAAATACTGGAAAGGGGGAGGAAGCGTCTTTCGCCCACGAAGGGGGGTCAGATCCTGACCACGTACGGATGCAAAAGTTCTGGTGGGCAGGGCAGGAACCCAGACAGTGCAGGGCACCCTCCTCTCTCAAAATTAGCCGATTGTATCATCTTCCCCAAAACTCTGATCAAAAGTTTGGTGATTTAAGAAAAGGCCGGGTGGGGATTCGTGGACAGTGTCCAAAGATTCTTGGGAGAACAAAAAGATCGTATTTTTAAAAAATATTTTTTTAAAAAATAAATTATTATTATTATTATGGTCTTAATTTCTTTTCTTCTTTCCTGAAGGCCCCGGACTGCCTTTGGAGCACGCAAGGCTCTTTGCAGAAGTGGAGCCCCAGTCAAAGCAGACGGGCCGGTCCCCGCTGTGTCTCCGGTTAAGAGCGAGCATCAGTGTTTTTAATGTGAGTTTGGGCAAGCGGAGAAGGATTTGTCTGCGGGGAAAGAGGAGAGGGAAGGGGCCGGATTGAATCATCCAGGATAAGCAATAGCCCGTAGACTTATAGACCGCTTCACTGTGCTTTTTCAGCTCTCTCTAAGCGGTTTACAGAGTCAGCCTTTTGCCCCCATTGGAAGGATGGAAGGCTGAGTCGACCTTGAGCCAGTTGGTCAGGATTGAACCGCTGGCAGTTGGCAGAGTCAGCCTGCGATACTGTATTCTAACTACAAGGAAAGGAAGGAAAGAAGGAAGGAAGGAAGGAAGGAATAGCTCTTAGACATATACAGCTCCACAGTGCTTCACAGCCCTCTCTAAGCAGTTTACAGAGTCAGCCTCTTGTCCCCAACAATCTGGGTCCTCATTTTACCCACCTCGGAAGGACGGAAGGCTGAGTTCAACCTTGAGCCTGGGGAGATTCGAACTGCCAAATTGCAGGCAGCCGGCAGTTAGCAGAAGCAGCCCTGCAGTACTTCACTCTGACCACTGCGCCACCACGGCTCACAAAACAAGCTAGGGCTGATGACAGCTTTTCCCTGTGTCCCCACAGGAGCCCGAAGAGAATGAAAAAGGCAAGAACTTAACCGTGGCCCAACAGAAAGCTCAGCATATCATGGAGTCCTTCGAGAACCCGTTTCGAATGGTAAAAATCACACACACATGCACACACACACGGGCTTTAAAGAAGATGCAAACAGATACCTTAACCCAGGGGCCCCCAACCCTCCCCAGTCCGTGAACTGGTACCAGACTGCGCAAGCAAGCAAAGCCCCATCCATGGGATGCAGGCAGCAGGCAAAACCACGTCTCCCTCCGGTCCGTGGAAAAACCACTCTCCATGGAACCGGTCCCTGGTGCCCAAAAGATTGGGAGCTGCTGCCTTAACCGATAACCCAGCCCTTAGGTGTGTCTGCACACTCTTGCCTTAACTAAGGTGTCCCTGGCTGTTTTTTGTTTTTTTTACTCCCCTTAGTATTTGCCAGCAGAGCTCAGCACGGTTCACATCTCCCAGGCTGCCAAATCGGACCCGTCCTCAAAAATCTATGAGGTAAGAACATTTCCATAAACCAACGGCCAGCTTGTTGCAACGAGAGGCTCTCTGGACCTTGCGGTGGCCTCCTGTCCCTTCTCTGCCTTAAGAGAAAGCCACGGCTGATCTGGCCACTGGGAGATGCTTTCTCAAAGGCAGCGTCGTGTCTTTCAGATCAGTAACCGGTGGAAGCTCCTCAGCCAGGCCCAGCTTCAGGCGGGAGCAAAGAAAGAACCCGCAAAGCAGAGACTTCCGGCAGGTGAGGCTGGTGACGGTTCATTAAAAACGTGAACCCAAAGCACCTTCGGTCCTTCTTGTGATGCAGGGTCTCCCTGAGAGGGAGGGCAGAGGGGTAGCAATCTAGAACAGCGGTCCCCGTCCTTTGCGGCCCGGCTGGGATGGGGAGAGAGGTGAACTGGGCCGTGCAAACAGCTGATCGGAGCACACGCAGCTCGACTCGCATGAGTGGCAGGCCGGGGCACATGCATGTGAGTGCCCACCGGCCACAGCCCCCCCGTGTGTTTGGGACCCCCTAATCTAGTATATAGAAGTGAGCATCCATGCTCATCTTACTCGAAGAGAAAACGCTGCAGTGAAACCAAGCGATAGGCCGCTGCTTACTGTGGGGAGGGGAGAATAGTGAGGGGAGGCTTCGTGTCAACCTGAAACTTTCACTTTTTAATGAGGTGGGAAAGGCGGGAACTCTCAAGACCTGGTTTCCCACCAGTCTGTGCCAAGATGATATCTCAAAATAAAACTCTTATTTGAGGAATCAAACTGCCTTGGATTTCTGTTTGCAAGTAATGGGTGTATGAACCCTAACACTTTGTGTTTGTAATTCGTTCCTACCAAAAGCCAAGTGAGATGATCTTGAGTGGCGATCCAGCAAAGCTCTCCGTGTATTCAGGAGAAAAGTTCTCTCTTCCCTCAACACGGAGAGCAAGTTTGTCCAGATGTTTGAGTCTCTCTGTCCTTTCCTTCCTTCCTTCCTTCCTTCCTTCCTTCCTTCCTTCCTTCCTTCCTTCCTTCTCTCCCTCACAGCCTCCACTCCTCAGGCAGCGCCAAAGGATGCGGAGCCCAGGATCAAAGACACGGAGACCGCCTCTGTTCGCCAGTTAGCTGCGGTGAGTGTCAACATTGGGGACATCTAGGAAAGTATCTGTTAACCTGTTAACCCTGACACTTTACTCCTTCCTTGGTTGTGTTCCCAGCAAGAACACGCCACTCCAAAGCGGGAGGCAGAAGACCAGAATCCTGCAACGGCGGCCTCCAAGAGGAAAAAGGCCAAACCTGAACCTCCCCAGCCTGCGGCAACCGCTGCCCCCAGTCGCTTCACACCCTTCGACTACAGCAAATCGGATTTCCGAGTCTTTGCCGGTAAAAAAATAAAAATAAAAAAAATCACCCTTCCTTGGCTTCTTCAGCTACCACCCAATTGCTGGGTGTGCCCTTGGTTGCTGAACACCAAGCCGCTTTGGTGTTAAGTTTTCTTGTTTTCTGTTGCTTTTTGGACTTGGTACTTTTGCACCGACATTCCTTCCTAGGAGTATCCCTTTAATTTTTCCTTTCTTTTTCAGGGAGCAGCAAATCCAAGCCTCCACGGCAATTTAACCCCGCCATCCAGGCCTCTGGCAACAAGGTATGCGTTGATTGCTCCACCTTTTATTATTTTTACAAATTCCCAAGAGGTCTGTAAGGGGCATGCATAAGTGCACAATCGTGCCTATCGTTTTGCCCCCATTTATTTGTACCTACTTACTCATGTTTATACTTAGACCTATTATCTTGCAAGCGATTGACAAATCACATCAAATCAAATCAAATCAATAAATAACTCAAGGCAGCAAATGGACATTCATCTTCCTGCCTCCTCCAGTTTTCCCCAAAACAACAGAGATTGGGAGGGGTGGGGGGGCGAAAGAAAGGGAACAGCCCAAGCAGAACTAGAACTCATCACCTGCTGGTGTTTGGCCAGGTGCCTTAATTGCTGGACCCAACTGGGTCATTTCCTCGACTCATTTACTGCTTCAGAAAAAATTAGCACAATGGATGGATGGATGGATGGATGGATGGATGGATGGATGAATGAATGAATGAAGTTTTATTTGCCACCCGTGTGGTATCCAATGACTCTGGGCGGCTTTTCCAAGCCCTTCTCCTCAGCCCAGCCTATAGATCACAAAATCTACAAGTGCATTGTGTTCTCTTGTGGCCTTTTCAGATATGGGGAAAGATATGAGGGGTGCTGTGATGGGTGGTCCTATCGGGTGGGAAGGGGCCGATGCTTGGCCAGACAACGTTATTGTAAGCTGGAGATGGGTTTCTCATCATTATTGTTATGGAAGGAAAAAAGAGAAGCGTCAAGAATTTCAACCAGATCATTTGTCCTTTTTTTCCCCCCCTGTTCTCTTTTCTCCTCCCCCCCATCCCCCCACCCCACACACAAAAAAAAACCCAACCTACAGAAATTTTCAGGAGCCAGCAAATCACAGCAGCCAGCAGGAACAAAAAGCATGTCTTTCACAGCTGGAAAATCCAACAGGTAGGTAGAGTTTAAAAATAAAGGTTTTTTTAAAAAAACAGCTGGAATATTGGAACTATAGATAGTCCTGAATCCAGCTTCTCCGCTGACTTTGTTAGAAGGCTGCAGAAGGGGATTGTATGGCCCCCGGGACACTGCAACTGCCATAAAATACACGCCAAGTTGCCAAGCGTCCGAATTCTGATCATGTGACCTACAACGGTTGTAAATGTGAAAAATGGTCCTGCTACTTTTTCAGCGCTCTTGTAATTTTGAGTAGTTGCTAAATGAAATGGCTGTTAAGTCAAGGAACTATCTGTACTTTGCAAAGAAGGTTTACAAGGGTTCTTCTAGTCCATCATATGTCATGCCACTATTTGGTGATCATTTGCCCTCCTGGGGTGAAGTTGGAAATGAAGTAAATAGCTGGGCAATTCCTGACGCTTAAATTGTTGCTCCTTTTAAACCTAAATCAGTTCAGCTCTCTTCTTACTGTCAGGATTCCGGCAGTTGCCCCCAATTAACTCATCGAGCAAAACTTCCAAAGAATTCATTGGGAATTAACATGTCTGGCACTGCCTGGGTGTAGCCGACTCTGAGACGCACAATTCACTGTCACCCTTGAGCCTGGTTTTCCCTCCACCCCCTGGGGGTATCGTAATTCATATTCTCCAATGGGACACATCCATAGCCCAGAGTCATCAATCAGTTAGAATTTTGCAAGGCAGAAACTTCGGTCACCTAGTTACTCTCTTTGAAAACATTTATGGAATGCAGTTTCGATTTGCAAGCAGCTACACTGCTCCCTCCCTTTCTGTTGGCAACTCTAAAAAGACCATAGAAATATTTTATGACTTGACACTTACCTTTCTATCCATCCTGACACAGGGGTTTTCGGCACAACTGGCCAAAAAGATAACACAGTTCATGGAAGTTCTTGGAAGACACGAGAACTGAGCAACTCCTTGCCACTTTTTGTATGGATATCTGTTTTCGATTTTTTTTTTCTTTTTAAACGATTAAAGTGCTTTTCTTTCCCTTGAAAAGGAAAGAAGGCAAGTTTAAATTAAGTGATAGTTCGTTTTCTTTTTCTTTGCTTCTGTTATTTATGCATTCCACTGTTATTATGGTTTAAATTAGTTTTATTTACATTAACGTTCAAGTCAGTTTACTTAACAGTGAGGGGAACGGGAAATTAAACATATAAACTGATTTAAGATTGTTCCGGGGTTTCTGAGCAGATGCAGAGTGCAACTCTCTCTTGAATAATGGTAGAAATGCTCCCCAACAGCCAGCTGCCCCAAAAGAGTCAGTATTGAACTAACTGGCATTCCCCACTGACCTCCAATAGGTAATGGGTAGAGGCCTGGCTAGCTATGAATGGGATACCACCAGGAGATCTCATGGCTATAGACTGAGAAGCCAGCAAACATCTCAGAAGGCAAGAAGGGCACTCACAGCAACCAGTGGGTGATATACAGGTAGACCTCGAGTTACAACCACAGCTGAGCCCAAAATTTCTGTGGTTGAGAAATTCGTTAAGTGAGTTTTGCCCCATTTTACGACGTTTCTTGCCACCATTGTTAAGTGAATCCCTGCAGTTGATAAGTTAGTAACCTGGTTGTTGTGAATCTGACCTGCCCATTGACTTTGCTTTTTTTAATCTGTTTATAATATAAACTAGAACAACACAAAAGAAAATAATAGGAGAGATATGGGGGGAAACAGGAAAGCGTAAACTGTAGGAAAACGAAAGAAAAGATGTTGAATTCCAACTGTAGAAAAAGATAACATGAAACCTCAGCTTTTTACTTTTACGTAACAGCATAAACTAGCCATTTCTATAACAACAAGTCTATCGAATCAGTAAAACCCAAAGTCAAAGTTTCAATTTTGTTTTCTCCCCCTCAAGCACAAAGTCCAGAAACGGTTTCCAAGAAGAAACAAAAGTCATGTATTTTTTTTTTCCCCTTTAACCCAAGCGGTCAGTTTAGCCCTCTCTGTTTAACCCCCATCGACTTCTGCAGCCGATTCATCCGTGGCGGGAATCAAACCACCCTTCCAATTTTTGCGCGTAAAAAGTAGCCTGGCTGCCCGTGGACTTCGCACAAAAGGGGTCTCACATGACCTTGGGACACAGCAACGGCCAATCAAGATGACTCAGCCACCAAGCATCTGAATTCTGATCGCACGGGGGAAGCTGCAAAAATGGTTAAATCTCAAAAATGGTCTCCCAAAGTCACATTTTTCAACTTTGAACGGTCATTAAGCTGTTGTAAGTTATTGTTACCTTTATTGTCAGAGTACAACATGTGTACAGTGAGATTGGCAGAGCCTCCCTTCGTGCACACACGCACCCAACACAACTCACAGTGAGGACAGAAGTCCCTAACCCAGATCCAATCTTATTACACTATGTGACCTTGTTGCACAACAGCCGTCCCCGCAAGACTGTCATACGATGTTGACATAAAAGATATTTCCCGTTCAGGAGTCTGACAGTCCACAGGTAGAAATTGTTCTTCAGCCTGTTGGTGTGGCTGGCTCTGGCCCGATGGTAGAAGAGCGAAGAAGTGCTGACCAGAGGGTGTGAGTTGTCCCTGAGGATTTTCCTCATGCTTCTAAGGCAGCGAGCCCTAGTGAGGTCATCTAGTGGTATCAGGGAACAGCCCAGAATGTTTTGTCCTGTGCTCACCACCCTCTGTAATGTCTTTCTATCCGCGGCTGTCAAGCCAGCATACCACACCGTAATGCAATGTGAGAGAACGCTTTCTATTGTGGACCGGTAAAAGGAAATCTCATCAGTTGTTGTTCCACTTTATTCTTTCGCAAAGACCCGGAGGAAATGGAGTCTCTGTTGGGCCTTTCTGGCCACCTGGCTTGTGTTGATTTTCCAGGTAAGCTCTTGAGGTAGACTCCCAGGGATTTAAAGGTGGGCCACCTGCATAGAAAAACGGGTTGAAACAATGCTGCAGGCCCCGAGAAAAGCTAGGGAGGGGAAGGCTTTTGGCAGAGACAGAGGGGTGCTGCAATCCAAGCAGTTGGATGTACACCGTCTCACTCTTAAGACGCCTCCCCTGCTCCAGAGAATGACCCCCTGGGAGGTTCCAACCCAGGTACGCCGAAAAATAACCTCTCTGAGCAAAGTAGCCGGAGATTCTCCATTATCCAGGTTGTGGTGGTCCCAAAATTGCTTTCTTTTCCAAGAGTCCACTGGACTTCCTTTGTTTTTCTTTGAAGACGTTTCACTTCCCATCCAAGAAGCTTCTTCGGCTCTGACTAAATGGTGGGGAAGGGAAGGATTCCCTCAGGGTGAACACAGATAAGCTTCCAAGTGGCCTCAATGGCTCAAAAAGGATGCAAAATGACCAGCTGTCTGCAAGGAGTATAAATCCTTCCATTATTCCTCACCATCCAGTCAGAGCTGAAGAAGCTTCTTGGATGAGAAGCAAAACGTCTTCAAAGAAAAACAAAGAAAGTCCAGTGGCCTCTTGGAAAAGAAAGCACTTTTGGGACAACCACAACCCCAGATGATGGAGAATCTCCAGATACTTAGCTGGGTTGACAAAATCAGAAAGGAGGAGGGGATCCAGCCGCCTGGGAAAGCCGAGGGAAATCATCAAAACCCATTAAAAAGCTAAAGTTGCAATATTTCAGCCCTGTGAATGCGTATGAGGCACACTTCAGGGAAAGATTGAAGGCAAACGAAGTCCAGGCAGAAGCAGAACTTCATGGCTTTGTTTTGTCCGGTTTGGACAAAACTCGGCAACACTTTTTGTGTGGCTGTGGATAAAACTAGGATGGCCAACGTGATCGCCAACGCGGATATGGAAGGAGGAGGAGGAGGAAGAAAGAGGAGGAGGAGGAGAAAAAGAAGAAGGAGAAGAAGAAAAGGAAGAAGGAGGAAGAGGAGGAGAAAAAGAAGAAGAAAAGGAAGAAGGAGAAGAGGAGGAGGAGGAGGAGAAGAATAGGAAGAGGAAGAAGAAAAAGGAGGAGGAAAGAAAAGACGTCCCGGCCAGGGTGCCAGCTGTAAGTCAGCCACGTGGAGGGACTGCCCCTCGCTTCCGCGTCCGCCTTCTCCCAGCCAATCAGGGCCCGCCTTTCCCGCCGCCCCACGTGGCCAGCCCTGGAACGCGCAACCTACCCTGCTAACTTCACTCGCTTTGCTCCCGCCGCCTCGGAGCGGGGCCGGCCAATGAGAGCCCGGCTTCCCGAGTTGGCGCGGCTCCCCATTGGGCCCGCCCTTCGGGAAGGGCTGCGGCCACGCCTCCTGGAGGAAGGGGGTGGGGAAAGCCGAGGTTCGCTTGCGGCGCGGACAGGTGGCAGGTGGCCGCCGCAGTGGCCCAGGGAGGGAGGGAGGGAAGCTCGCTCTGCTCCTCCTCCTCCTCCTCCTCCTCCCCCCCCCTCCCCGGTTGGCCCGTCCAGCGCCGCCTTTGCAGCGAGCGGAGGCGCTTCCCCGACGGGGCTGGGCGGCTATGGAGGCTGGGGCTGCGGGGGAGGCCGCTGCGGCCGGAGGGGCTGCCTCGCAGGTGGAGGAGGGCTGGTTCCGCGAGACCTGCAGCCTGTGGCCCGGGCAGGCGCTCTCCCTGCAGGTGGAAGAGGTGTTGCATCGCCAGCGCTCGCTCTTCCAGGAGATCTTGGTCTTCCGCAGGTGAGCCCACCTGGGAAGGGTCTGCAAGGGGCGGGAAAGGCAAGGTCCCGGCTCCTGCCTCGGCGATCTGCAAAGGAAGCCATGCGCTCCATCCCAGAAGCCGAGGATCGAGCGGCGGCGGGCGCGCAGGCAGGCAGGCATGCATGCATGCAACGGCTCTCCTTGGCCCAACCAACAGGCAGCCTTCGCCCAAGGGAGACGAGCCCCGTGGGTGGCACCCGACCCAAATCGGCTCGTGCTGCCGAACCTCCAAGGCTTCCTGGCCCAGGGATGGAGAGGCACCCCGGGGATAAAGGATCAGCCGAAGCCGGGTGGGGAAAAAATGGAAAAGAAGTGGGGAAAGGGGGGTGGTTTTTGGGGGGGGGGGGGAAGAAAGAGTGCTGATCAAAGCAGGAATCGCCACGTGTTGTTGGATGGCGAGATGAGTCTTATCCTCCAGGGACAGCAAAGGTCACCCAAAGTCTATAAGTAGGTCATCTTTCTTTCCCTTTTGAATCTTCCGCCTTAAAAACTGAGCGGGATCTTCCACGCTCTTCTCCTTCCCCAGCAAAACCTACGGGAACGTCCTGGTCCTTGACGGAGTCATCCAGTGCACGGAGAGGGATGAGTTTTCCTACCAGGAAATGATCGCCAACCTCCCTCTGTGCAGCCATCCAAACCCTCGGAAGGTGAGCGGCTTTGCTTTGCTTTGCTTGTTGGCTACCTGGGCTTGGGACGGTGGCGGCCCCACCATGAGGGTGTCAGGCCAAGCTTTGCAGACACACCTGGTGATCTTGTGTGCGCGGAGTCCAGCATCTTTTCTTTGGGGTTGCTCTGCCCTGGAGCAGCCTTTCCACGCGGAGATTTCTTGTCTGGCTACAGCTGCCCCATTTGGGGGTGAACAAAGCATCCAAGTGTTAAATTTAAAGGTGAAAGCAGAAGCTGTTTGCTCCGTCCCATACTTGGGTAGACCTGGTTGCCCCAATAGACCCGTCTCACTGGAAAAACACTTAAAGCGTTCAGATGTTGGCCAGTGATCCTTAATAGAACGTCTAGAATATAGAATTCTTTTATCGGCTGAATGTGATTGGACACACAAGGAGTTTTGTCTCCGGTGCATAAAGCTCTCGGTGTACATACAAGCAACAGGTGATAAATCACGATCATCATTAATTATATGTCCATGCGTCTAGTCCTCATGTCCCAAAGGTGCTTTTTTTTTTCCAGCACCTTTGGGATCACCATGACTGAGAATCTCCATAAACTTCTAGTTTTCGTGGAGAAAAATCTCTTGCAATGCCCACTCTGTAGCATCAACATCTCACGCCCCAGAGATCCATACGTTT